GCACTGGTGGAGGCAGAAAATGGAGTAAGATTTTCTACAGAAAAATTGAAAAAGTCAATTAGACAAGAACACAAATAATCGAAGTTCATTGAGGAAAGCCTTCGCACGCACCATTCAAAGGAAACGATTCCACAACGTTTGGCTGGTAGGAATTAGATATTATTTTATTATAATCACAACCACGTGGCATGCTATGCGCAGTACCAACTGGGAACAATACAAAACCGAAAAAATAATAAATCAAACTTCCAATAGTATGACGTTGCTAAAGCTGTCAAATTGGTATAAAAGAGTAACAAGTCGTTTGTAATATTATGCAGTCGTTGTCTGTTGGAGCTTATATCATTCTGAATATTGCTCACCTTTGAAAGTCTACATGTTTTAAATATGGGGCAATAACAAAATCCACTAAAGAAGTTCCGCAGTTAAATTTAAAAAATCAACAAACCATGAATAACATAAATGACGAAATAAAATTACCTGCCATCGGTAGAGGGAGAAAACCCCAAAAGTTGTTCTACACAGCAATGAGTAAAATTAATGAGTAAAATTATTTAGTTGTGAAAATGAGAATTGATTGTCTGTTGCAGTCAACCTAGATGATTCACTCAGACCTCTGTTTCTTCTTTTCCTTGAAGGAGTATGGAATTCTGATTTGTATTTGCTCATTTTGATATTGTCTCCGTAGCAGTTTGGTCTTCAAATGATATGGTTTTTTGGTTTTTTAGCTCGATACCTTGCTGCAAGAAATGCAGGTTTTTAGCTCGATACGTTCAGGAAAAGAAATGCCAGAAATGCGTTGGGATTCAGTAGTTATAAAAATGTGAAGTTTTTGAATTAAACTGAATAAAGATTTAAAAACAAAGATAACGACAAAAGAGTGATTCAGTAGTTATAAATGAGATTTTCATGGAATAAAACAGTCATTTGTTTTAATAACAAAACACTCATACCTGATTCCACTGAATCAAGAGGTTAATAAAAGATTCAAATTTAAAAATATGAAAATAAGGAACAAAGGTCGGGATATGTATAATTTTTTTTTTACTAATTAATTTTTTTTCGAGTAAATAGAATTGTATTCTTTAAAAAATGTGAAGTTTTTGAATTAAACTGAATAAAGATTTAAAAAACAAAGATAACGACAAAGAGTGATTGAGTAGTTATAAATAAATGAATATCCTGTTTTTTTAACAGTCATTTCATGAAATAAAACATTCATTTGTTTTAATAACAATGAATATCCCGTTTTTTTTTCAAAAAACGTAAAGATTTGAATTAAACTGAATAAAGGATAAAAAAAATAATTAGATTACATGATCAACATCAATTATTATAAAAACAAAGATGACGACAAAAGAGTGATTGAGTAGTTATAAATGAGATTTTCATGGAATAAAACACTCATACCTGATTCCACTGAATCAAGAGGTTAATAAAAGATTCAAATTTAAAAATATGAAAATAAGGAACAAAGGTCGGGATATGTATATATATATATTTTTTTACTAATTAATTTTTTTTTCGAGTAAATAGAATTGTATTCTTTAAAAAATGTGAAGTTTTTGAATTAAACTGAATAAAGATTTAAAAAACAAAGATAACGACAAAGAGTGATTTAGTAGTTATAAATCAATGAATATCCCGTTTTTTTAACAGTCATTTCATGGAATAAAACAGTCATTTGTTTTAATAATAATGAATATCCCGTTTTTTTTCAAAAAACGTAAAGATTTGAATTAAACTGAATAAAGGTTAAAAAAACGATTAGATTACATGATTAACATCAATTATTTAAAAAACAAAGATGACGACAAAAGAGTGATTTAGTAGTTGTAAATGAGATTTTCATGGAATAAAACAGAAGTTTTTTCTAATAACAAAACACACATACCTGATTCCACTGATTATAAAAGCAGAAATTAAAACAACGTTTTTTTGGAAAAAACATACCTCTAAAACACTTAATCCTTGCCAGTTGGACTATCAGGACGTTATGAGGATCGTCGTTGTCTGCCAAAAAAGATTGGACCTCATCCACATAATGCTCCCACAAAGTGCACTCCAACTTATGACCCCTACACGTGAGTTGCAGCAAGCACAACGTTAATACGCGTAAAATATAAGCTAACAGAGCTAGACAAAAATAATTCATTTAACTAAACATTTGTAAGTACCTCAGGTCGTCAAGCTCCAACACCACCATTTTTGTCTTCCTACCAGAAACCACACGATCACAAACTTTCCCAATTCCTGAGATTAAACCAATGACGTCTACAAAAAAAAACGCAGCAAAGAGTTTGTGAAAAAAATTATGCAATAATAAAAAACGAATACAGAAACATAAAAAACACAGTTAATGAAAAAAATAATGATACAGAATAAGATTACTCGTGACAAAACATTAAAAACACAAAACTATAACCGCAAAGAGTTTAAAAATAAGGAAATAGTCATGATACAGAATAAACCAATGATGTTTAAAAATTAAAAAAAGGCAGCAAAGAGTATGGGAAAAAAATAAAACCCGCAATAATTAAAAAAAGGATAACAGTGAGGAAGAATCTATTACCGACTAAATAAGGGGAGTCAGACGTTTCTTTCTCAATGATGTTATAATCAACAAAATCAAAATCACTCGCACAAATATCAGAAACAACAATCGATTTAACATCAGTCCTCAAGTTGAAAGACAAACGATACTGATGCTTGGTTGGCCTAAACACATCGCTATTGAATCCAACTCCAATTTTTTTTATAAAATAGCACTCTTCTTCGTTGATTTTATTCCGCACCTGCAAGGTACCTTTGACAGTGGCGTGGATCCTACCACCCTACAAAAGAATGGAGCCAACTTATGTCAACAACGTTAACTAAAATGATCAAAACAAAGATGGAAGATTTTTAAAACACAGAACACAACCTGTTCATCCAATAAAACCATTTCAAGATTGTCCTCCAAATTTTTACGCTGAAAGTTAGGAACTTTCCAAGTCCGAACCACCTTCACCTTAATCCTCCAGTCCTCCTTGGCAGGATTAACATCCTTCAGAAAATCATATTTTGAACTCATATTTTGTGTAAGAAAAAAAAAACAGAGAAGCAATCACCGACGTTGAAGAATAATGCGTATCATGAATTGTATAAATGAGAGTGATTTATAGTTTTTGAATTGTCTTCTTTAAAAAATGTGAAGTTTTTGAATTAAACTGAATAAAGATTTTAAAAAACAAAGATAACGACAAAAGAGTGATTCAGTAGTTATAAATGAGATTTTCATGGAATAAAACAGTCATTTGTTTTAATAACAATGAATATCCCATTTTTTTTTCAAAAAACGTAAAGATTTGAATTAAACTCAATAAAGGTTAAAAAAAACGATTAGATTACATGATAACCATCAATTATTTAAAAAACAAAGATGACGACAAAAGAGTGATTTAGTAGTTGTAAATGAGATTTTCATGGAATGAAACATAAGTTTTTTCTTATAACAAAACACACATACCTGATTCCACTGAATCAAGAGGTTAATAAAAGATTCAAATTTAAAAATCTGAAAATAAGGAACAAAGGTCGGGATATGTATAATTATTATTTTTTTTCGAGTAAATAGAATTGTATTCTTTAAAAAATGTGAAGTTTTTGAATTAAACTGAATAAAGATTTAAAAAACAAAGATAACGACAAAGAGTGATTTAGTAGTTATAAATCAATGAATATCCCGTTTTTTTAACAGTCATTTCATGGAATAAAACAGTCATTTGTTTTAATAACAATGAATATCCTATTTTTTTCTTCAAAAAACGTAAAGATTTGAATTAAACTGAATAAAGGTTAAAAAAAATTACATGATCAACATCAATTATTTAAAAAACAAAGATACGACAAAGAGTGATTTAGTAGTTATAAATCAATGAATAAGCAATCTTGACCATTGATTTAAAGTAACAAATCCTGTCAATTGAAAATATAATTCTTTTTTGTATTTATTATATTCACCGATTTACTATTAAAGGAAACTTTTTTAAATGTTGTAGTGTGAACACATTGGTGAAATTGAACCACAGTGCGACACGTCAGCAAGGTTTCCACATAATAGAATTCCTTTATAATATAAGATATATATATATATATATATATAGATAGATAGAGGTTCCCATCCAAACACGTGTTAAATTGTGAATTACTTTTTATTTTAACAAAAAAAAATTATTGAATAAAAAAAGCATTTATTATTAATGAAGGGTATTTTAACAAGAGTTGGGAAATTAATGAAACATAGTTTAGGAATTTTAATTTGTTTCATGTTATATAAATTTTAATCATATGCTTCATTAATTCCGTCAATTCTCAAAACGACGTGATTTTTAGTATTAACAACATTAACTGCATTCCTTATTGAATTTAAAAGTTTGTTAGATCTAAAAGTGATGAAAAAAATGCAAGAAGCTTGACGAACCTCGCGGTGAGTTAGAGTTGTTCAAAATGTCCAAAAGATTTATAATGATCTATAATCAAACTTGTCCATATTTAAAAATTGGTATTAGATGAAACTGCATTTTATTTTGTATATAAAAATAATTGAATAACCATTTTATTTTATTCTTTAACCATTTTTATATTTACCTTAACAGATTTATGAATATCATGTTGTAAGACGAAATTTGTGTCATGTTATATAGATATTTCATATGTTATATAGACATTTCATATGTTATATACATTTCATGTGAATCCCATCTTTATATATTTATAAAGGATATAAGTTGTATTATTTTAATTTTTTATTATATGTATTCGCAGTAATATATAATTATAACATGTAAAGTTATTTTTTTAACTTTTACGTCAGCTGATTTAATTGAGAAAATAATTTTTTTTTCGTGTTATAAAAAAAAACTAAAATCACAAATAATTTTTTATTCATAAATCGCTTGCTTTAAACCGTAATTTAAATAGTCTCATGTCTGAGCACAACATAAACCCTAGCTCCCCAATTGAGTTATCTCCTCTTTTGATTTCGATAAACCCAGCTGATTGATCCTATTATTGATTTCAATATTCACTTGCATTATCTCTCTCTCTCTCTCTCTTCTTTCATCCAAATCTCTTCTTTGATTTCGCCACCCACCTTCGACTCACGATCCCGAAGCGATTCCTTATCTCCTGCGACCACCGCCAATTCCGACGCCGGCAAGCCGCCACCGCTCGCATCCCTTTCTCCACCGGCATCCTTCCAGAACGGGTTCGTCCACTTCGATCTAGATCGTCTTCCTTCAAGGTTTCTTTCTTTTTTTATCTTCTGTCTACGATATTCAAAACTCATATAAATTTTTTTCTTGTGTGCCATTTCGTGCATTATGGGTTTATACTTGTGTCCCAAAGAGTGGAATTAATGGCTATGAAAATCCATAGCTATTGTGGTGAGTTGTTTTTATAGACACTTATTAACGTGTTGTACATTAGTTAGGTAAAAAGCACAATTCTATAGTATTAATTAATTTTGGTCTTACCCATGTTCCTATCCCAAAATTTTATGGGCTCTGTGCAAAACTAACAGATGCCTACATTCTATGTCTTGCACTAGATTGTCCCAAAACGTAATGGCAGGTGATTGTGTATTTATCAGCTTGATAAATGGCTCTGTCAGCTTGATAAAACGTGTATTTCATATGCAGCAAACAGCATCCTTGTGGTCATTTTGAGAAAACAAATAGAAAATGATGTCTTGTATTAAACAACTCCTAGGCTGAAGTTATTTACACGGTAAATAGATGGCCTGCACCTGTGGTTAGTCTTGTATGTAATTTTCTTTTAAATCCGGTCTCTTAAAGTAACAGGGTGTTGTGATGTGATTTAACTTATTGTTGTTATTATAAGTGCAATGATTTTGAACAATAAACTAGTTTCATGCTACTTTAGATATTAGGATGTTTTGAGCAATTGCATTGGTTCTTCAATTTGATAGTGTACGTGTATCTTATTACGCATCTCATTCTTTGCATTTTTCAACTCCTTGGTTTTTGTTTTCTCATCAGTGAATCAGTGGAATTGGTTTTGGATCTCAATGGAGTTCAATGTGATTGTTATCTTTTGGGAACATCAATTTTGCACCCTATGCAGGGTCATCACTACCACTATATTTTGTTTAATTATAAAGAAATGCTAGTAAGCTAGTAAAAAACTTACCGTCACCTTATCGTCAACTGCTACAAAGTACAAACCACTGTCTAGCCGCCGTACCTTCTGCCTTAGCCACCTTATCGTCAACTGCTACAAAGTACAAACCACTGTCCCTGAACCATCTACCACAGGTTCCCTCCAGTATAAACCCACGATTCTCCATTACCAAACCCTTTCCCTTAACCATTTTTAAATCTCACTTTCCCTCTTTCATATTGCAGATCTGTTTCTTCATTGGTATCTCTCTCTCTCTCTCGCTATCCTCTTCATTTTCCGATTCCGATCTCAATCGCCGATTTGGTTGCGTTTCTCGATCCCTTTTTTTATGGATATGCAAATAATTACTTACTTGATTCTTTTTTCTTTTTTCTGTTTTTAGATTCACTGTGGTTGTACTTGTAATTTAATTAGCCGCCCTGTGTTTTTTATCAACTGATGATCTTGACCGCTTAGCCACATTGATTCCAGTGCTAATCTGCGTTGCTATGTGTGTGGATTTGTTTTTGTTTGATTTAGGATTATAACTAATTAACTAGTATTATTAACTGCTTGATTTTACATGTCTCGTGTAATGTTAAGTCATTACTGGACACAATTTATTGTAGAGCTCATGCTATTGGTTTTTTGAGTAGTCCTTCATTTTTATTCGAATTTTGAGAGTTGTTATCTAATTGGATAGTTTAAACTTTCAAGTGTAACAAGTTAAAGTTTTTTCATTTGATTTTTTTCAGAAGGTATTTTTTGTTGTTTTTAAATTTATTTTTTAAAAAAAAATTCTCAATTTTTTCGTTTTTTTTTTTTTTTAAATAGAGTTCAAATTTCGTGTGTCATGTTGTGTTGACCCGGGGGACGTGACACATCTGAGTTTGCATTTTTGACCCGTCAACAATACGTGTCGTGTTGTGTCGACCCTGTTTTGGAATTTATTTTTTTTAAACCAAAAATCTGATATATAGTCATTTCTAAATGATCGATAGTCATTTAATTTTGTGGTTTTATTTATTATAGGCAAATACTTTTTTTGGCGCATTGCGTGAATTAGAGATATGTATAGAATTTGCAACTCAATCAGCTCTGACTTTTTTTTTCTTTTCCTAGATGGTGAGGAAATAACGATTGGTGAACAGAAAGCAGTTTGTTCTTGTAAAGGAGTCTGTGATTTGCCATATCATTAAAGAAATCATCACCTATTTTTTCTCCAATTGAAAATATTTAAAATACATCTGATGAATGGAAGTCAATTACAATTTAAAATTTCTTCCAAACATGAAAATTCATTGTATAATAGAACTCAATAATAGGAGTTGAATTGAATTCTCTGTGGATTTATTTCAAACAGGGCTCCTGTGTTTGTGAAAGAGAGATAGGCGCATACCATCAATGGCAGGAGGCAAGATGAAGAAGGAAAAGGGCAAGCCACAACAACACACGCCTTACCAAGGTGGCATATCTTTTCACAAATCAAAGGGTCAGCATATACTCAAGAACCCATTACTTGTTGATGCCATAGTGCAAAAATCTGGTATCAAAAGCACTGATGTAATCCTTGAGATTGGTCCCGGTACTGGAAACTTGACAAAGAAACTTTTGGAAGCTGGAAAGAAGGTTATTGCGGTTGAGATTGACCCACGTATGGTTCTTGAGCTGCAGAAACGATTCCAGGGGACCCCTTACTCCAATCGCCTCACGGTTTGTCTTTGTTCATTTTTTATTTTGTTTTCTGTTTGGCATACGAGACAGTGGTGAGAAATATTGAGCAGAAAAAGTTGGGGTCGTCTGTATCTTTGTTTTCTTTTCACTTAGTTATTATTTGAAGTGCATTATAATCAAAAGTGAGGAGGTAGTAGAATAGACTCAATATTGCAGAAAAGATTGATATCTAAATCATTATATGCTCTTATTCATGTACATCATCAACGAACTTAGACTCGTGGAGTCCCAAGCAACTAAAAATGATGAATTTTGGAGGATGAATGTCAATAGTCAAGTTTCATTTTTTTTTTTGGTTACCTTCTGTGTACGAATAACAAAGTATAAGGTTAATCATGCTTATTTATTATTTTTACTCGACGGAATGGTTGACAAATGAAGCTTCTATTTCCTTGTAAGTGGCCGAGCTGCATTCCTTTTAGATGGTTATACATTCTAGTGTCAATGCTTGTGTATGGTGGCTATTGAATGACCTTATTAACAAAGTGTCTAAGTGCTTGAGTATGGATGTTGAATACCAATTATATTGGAAGTGGTTGAATGCCTAGATAAATGTGTATGATATGATGTTGAAGCTCCATACCTTAATTTTGAGGGCAAAATTCCTAAAAGGTGGGGAGAATTGTAACACCCATGTATAGGTTGGTTAAGTTTTTGTGGTTGAAATATAATTTCCTTAAGTTTGGGGGCCAATCCCTAAATTCCAAGAATGTAGGGGCTATGCTGTAATTTTTAGAAAATGCAGTGATCAATGATCCAGTAAATTAGGATGTATCTCGGTGGGTATGTGTCAGGAATTTACAGCCCTATGATGATTATACTAGGGATGCATGTGGTGAGTGCAAGAGTCCAAAAATAGGACTAAGGCCATAGGATTATGTAGAACTTAACTACTCTCTGATTAAAAATTCAGAGGATACTACCGTGTGTCATCCTCTCCCAAAACACCTTCTTCTTTCCCAGATTAGCCAATGGGTTTCACCTTGCATGGTGGGTCTTGTCTCCCAAAAATCTTCTCTCGATTACCATGCTAACTCAAGGAATTTAACTGCCCATTTAATCATCCTAAAACAGCCCCTTTGACTTTTTGTTGAACCATGAGAAATAGAGGGTGAATTCCCATCTTGTGTTAGTGATTAGTTGGGTGAAGCTCCTCCTAAGCTATAGTGATTTTGGACCATATGGGAAGGCTGTGGGGAGCTGGAGCTTGAAAAAGAGGGAAGCTCACTTGAAAAGTGTATCTAGAGGTCTTACGGATTTACCTTCTTCAAATTTAAGGACACACCTACTTATTTTATCACCTAAAAGAAGACCAAGAAACGGAAGCAAGTCAAATAAGGAAAGTTGTAGGTTATGTTGCACAGGCACAAGACACGACACGACACATCTACACGTTAATTCTAAAAAATGCCATATTTCGACACGTTAGGACATGTTTTGATATTAAATAATAATTTTAATATATAATATTTTATATTTAATACATATAACAACCTATAATAAGTCATATAACCAATCAAATATTCAAATTCCATAACATACATATAAAGCAAATATAATTTTTCGTACCTTGTTAATTTTTCATTTCAAATTCCATAACAGAAAAAAAATTGATTTATAAATTATTTTTTCATGTTTAGTTAATAAAATAAAATTTAGCCAAAAAAAAAAAGTGTCGGATGCATGTCGGAGTGTTGACCGCGTGTCCCAAAATGTGGACCGCATGTCGGTGTCCGACACTTTTTAAAAAAAAAAAATGCTTGTCGGTGCTTTGTTGCATATAACCAATCAAATATTCAAATTTCATAACATAAATATAAAGCAAATATAATTTTTCGTACCTTATTAATTTTTCATGTCAAATTCCATAACAGAAAAAAATTTAAATTAACTTTTCATGTTTAGTTAATAAAATAAAATATAGACCTAAAAAAAAACGTGTTGGATGAGTGTCGGAACGTTGACCGCGTGTCGGAAAAAGTTGACCCCGTATCGGAACATGTCAGAGCGTTGACCGCGTGTCCTAAAATGTTGACCGCGACATGCATTTTTTAAGAAAAATTTGCGTGTTGGTGGTTGTAGGACAGCCCCAAAGTAATCAAGGAAGAAGATAAACTTAGGAACCTTAACTTCCTTCCTTTCTTTAACTTGGGTATGTCTAGAACAGCCTTGTGAATATTATTTATAAGCATTTTGTTTGATGATGATTTATGATGAGTGATGTTACCAGAGAACATGATGAAATAATGTTTTTTTATCAATTATTTTAAGTCTATGGTTGAGGCTGCCATCTTGGTAAAAAATATGATATAAATTAATATTAAGTGAAATTAGCTTTCTATTATATGCATTGGATTGTTTAATTCAGATGTATCCGTTGGATTATTTTTTTTATCATGGATATGACTGTCCTTACTAGAGTATGCTAAATTATGGAAGAATGATTTTTTGCACAGCAATGAAAACCAAAGAGAATGACTATGAATGCAATTGAAGCTGTCTTGATGTTATATGTTAAATTTTATGTTGAGATACTAGACAGCAATGAAATGTCATGAATCAAGCATGAATGCTTGAGAGAAGTCCCTGGCCAGGTGAAAGGATAAGTCTTAGCACCTCTTAGGAGATGCCCTAGAGTGAGCGTAAAGGCTCATGGAGGTTGCTCATGGATAGGACAAAAGGATAAGTCTTAGCACCTCTTAGGAGACATCCTAGAGTGAGCAATGCTCATGGAGGTGTCATGGATAAGTTAATGCTGTGAATTGTGAATTATGTTTCTATGATGTGATTATGCTATGTTTGTGAAAGGAATTTATATGTAATCTTGAAGTTGTTCCATACTAACCTCGATGCAGGAAATGTTAATTGAATTGAGAAGGGAATGTTTTAAAGTGTTCCTTGCTTTATTGAATGGTAACTCACCCCTTTTGGGGCTGCTTATGCAGGAAAATAAATAAATGATAGAGGCAAGGTTATACAAGGATCCAATGCAAAGGAATGATGGCTGTGATGTTGTTGTGTTTGTAACCATTTTGTCATTAGTTGTCTTATTCAGCTTTTTGAAGGAATATGTAACGAATCCTTCATAGTATGGCTGTTTTGGAATGGACTATTCCTTGTTTTGAAAGACTTGTGTAATTAACCTCTATAATGCATAATAAACAGCCATGTGTTCACTTGTTTGCTTAGACTAATAAGTGGAATGTATGTTACTTGAAGAAAAAATTGTATGGGCCATCAATTATAAATAAGGTAGTGAGATTGTTGTGTGGAATGATAGATCGGGTGGCTGAGTGGACAGGCTAAACTCTGTCCTAATAGAACCATGTTGACCTACTTGTTTTGGTTGAAATGCTATTAGTAATATGTGTATGGATGTATGCAGTAACTTAATATTTTGAGAATTTAATTCTGCCTAAGTTTAGGTATTTTGAAAAAAAAGTCTGCCATAGTATGGCTTATAGTTTGGCAGATGGTAACCATATATGTCTACCAGGCTGGATCGGCTTGGATTATTGAGTCATGAAAAGAACTGTGAGTAACTGTAACAGGCCTCAATAGCATCATTATAAATTAATGGTCTATCATCGGTATGCAGACATAAGTTGAAACACCTTCCCTGTTACTAACCATACTTTCTAAGAGGAGACCCTAAAGGAAATTTTTTGGGCATAGACTGTTAAGTTCAGGTAAAGTTTCAAGAAGGAAGTCCCTAGGGTATAGGTGTTGATGTTAACTTCATGGTGTATATTAGTGCTCGAGGTAATCTTTTACTTATGCTTGTATGAGTGAATATTTCTTCTGCATGTTTCGTGAGAAAATGTTGGACCTGTTTGTATGACCACACTTGATTATGCTATTTAACAAGCTAAATGAATGAAATTATGATTGGGTGCTATGTTGGTATTAATAAATAGACTTGGTGCGCATAAGACAATTTTTCCCATTGCACTTGAGACCGTAAGCAATAATGTACCAGTGCACATGTGGTGTTATATCTATAAATATCCCAATTTCCCCAAAGCAAAAGAAATTTTTTTCTTTTCCCGTGTTGTTTCAACTTTTCTTATTTTTTTTATTTTTTGTGATTACAGGTTATTCAAGGTGATGTGCTGAAGACTGAACTTCCTTATTTTGACATATGTGTGGCAAACATTCCCTATCAAATATCTTCTCCTCTCACATTCAAGTTACTCAATCACCAGCCTGCATTTCGGTGTGCAATTATAATGTTCCAGAGAGAATTTGCTATGAGATTGGTTGCTCAGCCAGGTGATAAACTCTATTGTCGCCTTACGGTGAACACTCAGCTCCATGCTCGAATCTTCCACCTCCTCAAAGTTGGAAGAAACAACTTCAGGCCTCCACCCAAGGTTGATTCCTCTGTAGTACGAATTGAGCCCAGAAAGCCACGTATTGAAGTTAAGCAGAAGGAGTGGGATGGGTTTTTACGAATTTGTTTTAACAGAAAGAACAAAACACTTGGTTCAATATTTAGGCAAAAGAATGTCATCTCTTTGCTTGAAAAAAATTACAAGACTGTGCAAGCACTGAAACTCTCGCAAGAAGGTTCACTGAAGGAAATAGACACTAAAATGGACTTCTCTAGTTTTGGTGACGATCAAGATATGGAGATGGATGATTATGGAGTAGATGATGATGATGAAATGGAAGTTGAGGATGGGGAAGCAGATCAGGTGCAATCTGAGTTCAAGGACAAGGTTTTAGGTGTTCTTAAAGAGGGAGATTTTGAAGAGAAGAGATCGTCCAAGCTCACGCTGCAAGAGTTCTTGTACCTGCTTTCTCTATTTAACAAAGCTGGCATACACTTTTCCTGATTTTAGATTTATCATTTTCTTATTATTTCCTTTACTGTTTAAATCTTTAGTATTGGGCTGTTTTTCAAGAGAGTGGTTTTAGATATAATGGTCTATACACTAATTAATCATTTTATTTTGTTGAGCTCATTCGTGTATGTATTTTACCGACTATGGAATTTTAGCAGATTGACTGTTCTTTAATTGCTTTATGAGGATCTGTATTTGTATATCTTCTGTATGTGTTATATTTTTGTTCAAATGTCTTGTATGTTATAAAAAATTTGATAGTTAAGCAGGTTAGCTTTTAACTTGACACCCAACAAATAAAAAGTAAATAAATAAACTTTGCCCTATGGATTAATGATACTGACATGCCAAGAAACTTGTCACTCAACGAATAAAAAGCAAATACATAAACTTTGCCCAGCGATTATGAGTATTATGTCCATTACACTGAGTGTAAGAACCCTCAATCTTTCTTTCTTTCTTTGTTCTTGCTCAATTTGAATGAGTGAATGAATGGTTAGGGTTTTGGTTTGGTGTGTTGTAATTTTGAGAATTGGCTGGATTATTTATTGATTGAAGGTTTGTTAGAATGCTATTGATTTCGTAAAGTGTTAGAATACTCTGATATCTGTTTATTTATGTAGTCTTTAATATATTATCACGAATAGGGTTCCCTGTGCATATGTGATAATACTACTAGTGATGCTTGCTAATATTTTGAATTTTTGTGAATCGTTATTTGTAAATATAGGGATGTGTGGATGAATCTTTGATTTTGTTGGTAAATATTTTGTTTTTGGATAAACAAAATGTTGAAATCACTGTTGTCTTGTTTCAAACATGATCCTTTTTTTTTTTTTGGATAACAGCAGCTACATAGCCACTAACAAACTACTCTAGGTGTTCCAACACCCAAAATATCTTTATACAGAACACTACTACTCCCCATAGGAGGGGACAAAAATAATTGAACATCTTATCTGCATCAACAGCTTTTTGAGCCATCCAGTCAGACATCACATTCCCCTCTCTAAGAGTATGATTCAACTGAACTAACCAATCCCTCCCAAGGAGGTTCCGAACAGAATTTCCAATATGAGCTAGGTGGTGATTGTTGAAATCCTCTTGCTCTATAAACTTCAGTGCCTGGGAAGAGTCCCCTTCAAGTATGATACTTCTAAATCCTTTGTCCCATGCAACAGTAAGGCCCACCAGTATGCTCCACAACTCTGCTCTGAAAGCATTTCCTTGTCCCAGGTTCTTTGTGAATCCCATTATCCATTCTCCCTTGTTATATCATCATTCTTCTATTTTAAAAGTTGCTATGTTTTATACCAGAAAAAAAGAAGAAGTTGTTATGTGTCTCTTATATCTATTTTAGTATTTGTAGGGGGCAAAATATAGGGATATATTATTCTTTCTGACCAAGAAATAGGTGTAAGATAATGGCAGTGGTAAGTGACATTTTCATGTATTCTTATTAGTTAATGGTAAAAAATAAACTTTCACTTTTATTGGTATTTTTTTGTTTTTTTGTTTTCCTCATCATGTTACCATTGTTTATGTATTTGAACATTCATAATTCCTTTCTCTATATTTTTCTAATTGTCAGTTGATGTCAATGTTTTTTGTGATTGTTTTTGCTAAGGTTAACGGTTTATCGTAGGCAGGGATGCTAAGATGCTAACTGCTTAACCTTTTGTTATTACTTTTTACTTTTTGGCAGTCAATAGGAGGCTTGATGAGTGGGTGAAGCTTGAGCAGCTTCATCTTGATTCTGTGGAGGCTGTTGTTGATGAGAAAGTGGAAGAGAAGGTAATGATTATTTCTTCTCCAAATTGCTTTGCAGCATTTGTTACCAGACCCTTAGTTTTCAGATATCTGTTCTAAGTAGAAATATTTTCTTTTCATTTGTTTCTCTTTCGGGTGGTGTGGGTGTAGATAGAAAAGAGTTCTTATGTCCTCAGAACTTGTAGTCACGTGTTTTTTGGTGACCTGGAATCGTGTAGTCTCTTGCTGTTACAGGCGTGGCTAGGAAGGATAATCCCAGCGAGACCAAAGTTTGGAAAGTTTATTCAAGGAAACAAAAGAGTTAGTTAGGAAAAAGTCAAAATGTAGTTGGTGAGTGGTGAATAGTTCATGTGTATAAATAAAGGAAGTCATCTCATTTGAGGGATATTCAGTTTTGTTTCTGATTGACCACTGAGAGTGCTCAGTAGGTGTGAAGGGAAAATCCCCTTGGAAGAGTCATTTGTTCTGTAACCCATTTTGTTCATATCAATAGAAACCCAGATTGCTTTCATAGTGTTTTCTTGCCCTCTGTTCTGTTTGTTGCTCTGCATCATCTCTGTTGTTAGCACGTGCTCTGGCCATTCGTAATTTTAATGTCATAAGTGGTGGTTTCTTTCTCTATTATGTGTAACTCTTATTTCAAAATACGCATTCTTTTTATGACTCAACTCATTTAGAAAATTGCACTTGTGATTTTCCAGGGGGTGACAGGTTTGAAGATGACACGCCCCTGATGGGCCTTTAATAAAATATCCAAACCCATTAGTTAGGAATTAGTTGTATATAGATGATTAGGGTGTGATTTCTTTATGCATGAATTCAATATTGGCTTAGTGGGCAAATTGGGGATCTCTAGGGAACTCTTGGAGCCTAAGTATGTTGGCTTTGAAGGGCAGTTGACATCTTAAGGTGTATTTTTCTGCATTTTATCTTTGTAAGGAGATTGTCTCTATTTATGTTTTCTGCAATTTCAGATTAATAAAAGTAGGTTTCATCAAAGGATCTCTAGGGAACTCTTGGAGCCTAGGTATGTTGGCTTTAAGGGAGAGTTGGGGTCTTTGGGGTTTATTTTCTACATTTTATCTTTGTAAGGAGCTTGGCTCCAGTTATGTTTTCATCTTTTTCAGTTTTATAAAATCAGGTTCCATCAGCCACCAAAAAAGGAAGATTAATGAGACACATGTAGAGGTATTGAATGGTTGTTTTTCAATTATAAATTGGTCACAGGCTGTTAGACATAAACACAGACAAACAAAAAAAAAACCTACTAGACTTTATAAACATTTTTGTCTCTCTTTCTACATGTTCTTCAAGGGTGAGCAGGTGCCATTTGAACCTAAGGTAATCAGCAACTTGGTATGAAAATATTGATTGCTATAAGTTGATAATTTTTGCACTGACACAAATATTTGTTCTCACTGCTCTCATTGAATAACTTCTTGTCAGTACTTGAGTGCTATTTTTTTTTTTTTTTTTTTTTTTGAAAGATCTTGAGTGCTATTTTAAAATGACACATTGAGACACCTCGCGCCTAGGGGCTTCCAAAACAATACACCTGTTTACATACCAATAGTTTTGATCATGATGCTGAAGTCACAGGAAACATGTAATTGTGATATTCTTTTGTTGGAGTTTGATGCTGATAATTGCTTTCTTGAATGTGAAACCAGGATACTCTATGGACTGTTCAAATTATTCCTTCCTCGAGCTGCATTTTGTTCCTTTTAAATTCAGGTGTGTATTATTATTATATTATAGGGCCATGAGGAGCTTGATGCTGCCAGTTTGCGACAACATGAGGAATTTACAAAAGTGAAAAATATAGCTACTATTGAACTTGTAAGATATGAGATTGAGACATGGTACTTCTCCCCATTCCCACCAGAATACAATGACTGTTTGAAGCTGTACTTTTGTGAGTTTTGCCTCAATTTCATGAAGCGCAAAGAACAGCTTCAGAGGCATATCTTGAAATAATCCTTTTTCCCTTTATTTTTCGTTGTTCTGGAAAGTGGATATTTTCTTGTGTGCTATCCTGATTGTACATCTGATTAATGCCTTTGGTATTTTGCAATTTGCATGCATTGCTCTTATTGTTTCTTCTGTCATTTTGTAGTTTGCTCTAATTGGTGTTTTGTAATTTGTGTTGTGATATTTTGGAAAGTTATTTGTTAAATTCTAGTTTGGTCATATTTTACTTAAGAGAATTTAATCGTATCTTGTGTGTGAAGTTGTTTCCTTGCAATTCTAAAATTTATTTTGTTGAAATTTTTATGTTTTGATACTACTACTTATAATCTTGCGTAATGATGCAACAACAGCAACCAAACCCTATTCCACTAGGTGGGGTTGGCTGCATGGATCAATTGACAATATTGAATTCTATCAAAAACCAAAGATAATCTCGTGTTCTTTTTATCATCTTATTTTAGGCTATGTTTGGATTGGTGGATAGAGATGAAATGAAGAGGTATGGAGTATTGGAGTGGAATACCATAATTTACCATCGTTTGGATTTCTTAAGATTGGAAGGAATGGATATGGGATAGTTCCACTCTACTAAAGTTATAACTCTTACGATTCCATCAATTTCCCAAACAATGGAATCAAAACCTACGCGGTTCAACATCAATGTCAATAATATCTTTCTCTCAAATTAGTTGGGATTGGTGGTCAAGCAAAAAAACATTGAGGGAAAAGAAGGGAAAAATAAATAAATAAATAAAAATTGAAGATTAAAAAAGAAAATCCAATAAAATAGAATAAAAGTAAAGTGAGAATAAAGATAGATAAGAGGAAAAGAAATAGAAACAATACATAGTAATAATAAAATTAGATAAATAAAAGGAAAAAGTAAAATAGAGAAGAAAATAATTAGATAAATAACTAAATAAATAAAAGAAAATATAGGACAAAAGGATTAAACAAGGACTAAATGTAACATGGGAAGAAAAATGGGTTTATCCTTCCACAGTGCTAATAATTTTCTCCCAATTCGTGCGAAAATATACTATCCGCCAATTTAGTTCTTAATCCATCAAGTCTTGTTTTGTTATTTTTTCAAAGTAAGTTTTGGTTGACCTTTTTTTTTCTTCTTGTGACAAGTTTTCGGTAACAAACTTGTGTATTCATGGAGCATCTAAGTGGTCTGCACATTAGATGCTTGAACTATCTCAATCTATGTTTTCTTATCTTTTTAGCCACATGTACTATCCTGCTATTCGTTCCATCATAAAATTTTCAAACAATAATATGGTAATTTTATGGGAAATACTACTCTTATGTTACATGTGATAAAATTCTCTCCTACACACCCTTCGATAACTGTGCCACTTTTTTCTTTTCTTTTCTTTTTATTTTTCAGATGGTGGGACCCACAAGTTTGTCTCTATGACATGAGATAACTTATCTCCTTTAACATGAGATTAATAAATCTCTTTCCATTTAATCCCATCCCATTCCATCCTTTTCCATTTCATTCCACCCACCTTTTCCATTTCATTCCACCCACCATTAGATACACAGATGTAGCCGCATGTTTGTTTTAAATGCATTGTATATTTGTTTGATCCAGCGACCCTTGGTTTTTGCTTCTATGAATTGTTTGGATTATAATTCTTTTTTTCAAACAAAAATAAGGCAGTAAACTTATGAATGGAGAAAAATT